GGTCTATCTACCGAAATATCGCCTCGGATTCACTTCTCCGCACGTCCTACCTTCCAGAAAGTGGTCGCTTGTCTGTTCAGAGAGTTGCTGCTCTTCTTTTCTTTGATCTCCTGTTGAGTCTGTAGGTGTTCAGAATGGTTTGATCCCTATCTAGCTGAATTCCTGGGACCAGACGAAATTTAGGTCTCCTACCCCTCCGCCATCTTGCTCTGCCCTGGCTAGTGATTTTAACATGGTGAGTTTGTTATCACCAAATGGTGGATTTATACTCCTTTAAAGAAGATCAAACTTTTTTGGCAGGCAGTTTAAGTTACTTGTGGGTTTGAAGCCCGATCCATTTGAAGCCTGGTTTTTCAGCTCTTGTAGGGGAGTTGTAGAGTCCCCATTAACCCAAAGCCAGTTTAACCCCACTTTTAAGGCATGGCCCTTCTGGGGTCTCTACTGAATGCCCCAGGTATTCAAGGCGATCTCTCCACCCTGCCTAGTGAGAACTTAAATGGTTTCGGGCCTACATGAGATCTGAAATTTATTTATGTCCTGCCTTCCTGTCAAGTATTCCTTTCTTTGAAGTTGTCATCCAGACTAGTGGGACTGCACCAGAGGCATAAACAGATCAGTGGAGGTCTGGGTAATTCCTGCCCTTTCTAAGTACTCTGCCCTGGAAAGTGTAGCCACCTCAATCTCTCTCAACTCCAGTCTCTGTTTAGATTTCTCTTTCTGGGCCATGGTCTGGACATTTCCTCCAGGCAGAAAGCCTAGGTGGTAGTAAGGCTCACCTCATTTTCTCCCTTTTCTCAGTTTTGTGCTGAGAAGCCTGCAAATTGTTTTTTTTTTTATATTGTTTCCAGTTTTCTAGTTGTTTATGGTGGGAAGGTACTTCTGGATCATCTTATCAATGGGTGCACAAGTAACTACCCCACTCTTTTTTTTTTTTGTAGCACTAGGGTTTATTGAGCTCTGCCTTCATGCAGATGCTGGGGCTTGCCCATGGTGCTCTTGATGCATAAAGCCCAGATGTTCTGCCAGTTCCTCTTAAGCAATGACGCCAGGAAACTGACAGCCAAGTGGATGTTGTACACAAGCTCGTCCTTTGTCATCTTCACGGGGCCAACAGCCACTGCCAGACACAGCACCTTCTTCATCTGGCCTTTGATTCTGGACTTCACTTCATCCACTTTGGCCACCATGTTCTCATTGTGGGTCAACAAGGAGGGGAACTTGCCAGCCTTCCTGAGGCCCTGGGCCCAGGATTCATGGGATCTGCTTGATCAGAGATTCTGAAGCAAAAAAAGGCATCATACTTCTTGGCTAGCTTCTTGACTCATGTTTTATTCTTGTTGAACTCCTTCAGTGCCTCAGTATCCATGAGGGGAAATATCCACAGCGTCAGCCTCATCACAATGCTGCTGGTCCCCCCAAAACACATACGGGGAATTCGGGGCAGGGAGTGGACTTAAGCCTGCTGGTGCCCAAGAAGGGTTTGTCCTTCTGAGGGCCTTAATTCTTCAAGCTGATGTGCAGCTCCACCATCTCCCAAGACTTTGGTGCACACGCTGGTTTCCATGCGGGACTTCCCGAGCCGCCTTCTACAGGGTGTCTGGGGAGACTGCTGCTCATGGTGCCATGCCACAATAAGCCAAAAAGAGAGTCAGTGCTCCAGGCTTACATTTTAATTTCCAGCACTGGATTACCAGATTGAGGGAGCCCCCACTATGAAACACAGACACTAAGACAAAAGGGGAAAAAGGACCAAGAAAACCCCAGATGATTCAGAGAGCAAAGTTTTAAAAAAAAATTTAATGAAAACCCTAAAAGGGACCCAAGAAGATACTGCATCACTGAAATCACAGAATGCCATGAATTTTTTTTAATGCAGGGAATAAAAAAGGTTTTGAAATTAAAAATATGCTAGAAGAAAGAAAAAATTCAGTATAAAGTATCAAAGATACAACTGAGGAAATTTTTCAGACAGTTGAACAAAAAGACAAGGAGATAGAAGGTACCAGAGAAGAGACAAATCCACAACAGGATTGATCAAGAGAGCCCAAATTTTCAATTCAAAGTATCTTTAGGAAAACAATATAGAAAAAAAGGAGGACAAGAAATTATGGAAAAAGAAAAGAAAACTTTCCGGGGCGCCTAAGTGGCTCAGTCGTTAAGCATCTGCCTTTGGCTCAGGTCATGATCCCAGGGTCCTGGGATCAAGCCCCACATCGGGCTCCCTGCTCTGCAGGAAGCCTGCTTCTCCCTCTCCTACTCCCCCTGCTTGTGTTCCCTCTCTCGCTCTGTCTCTCTATGTCAAATAAATAAATAAAAATCTTTAAAAATTAAAAAAGAAAAGAAAACTTCCCAAATAGGAGTGTGAGCCTCTAGATGAAAAAGGCCACTGACAGCTCAGCTCAATGAATTAAAGATCCTCACCAGGTAAACCATGACCAAAACTCAGGACACCTGAACAAATGAGATGCTCTCAGAAGCATACAAAATGTCAAGGATTAGAAAGGCAGAGCGACACAGGAAATGAGAGGACAATAGGCTAGTGCCTACAACTTCTAAGAGGACATGATTGCCATCTGGAAATTCATACCCTGATGAACTACCAAGTGAATGTAAGGGTCTAATAGAAGTATTTTCAAACACTCACTGCAACAAAAATTTGACCCTCCATTCATTCTCATGAAGCAGCAGAAGGATGTGCCCCATCAATCACAATGACAACCCAGGGTCCAGAAAACGAGGCATCTCGAACAAGAGACCGTGGGAACCCCCTGGAAAATGCCAGAGGTGGGGAGCTCCAGGGTGATAGCTGTGCAGCCAGCTCCGAGGACAGTTAGTGTAGGCTGGAGGGGGACAATGGTAAGGGAATGTTCAGAGAAGGGGACAGGGGACCTGATTATTGACTTGATATGACTATTGTGAAGAGTTTTCATTTAGCGTGTTATTTAGAATTACGAAGGCAAATATGAACAATGGAGAAGATTTGAAAATCTGGGTCGTGGGAACTGGAGATCAGGAGGGCCTTGGGGAGTGACTGTTATTTTTTGTTTTAACCCTGTACTTCTGTCTGATTGTTAAAACTCTTCATTTATGGGGCGCCTGCCTGGGTGGCTCAGTCGTTAAGCGTCTGCCTTCGTCTCAGGTCATGATCCCAGGGTCCTGGGATCGAGCCCTGCATCGGGCTCCCTGCTCGGCGGGAAGCCTGCGTCTCCCTCTCCCACTCCCCCTGCTTGGGTTCCCTCTCTCGCTGTGTCTCTCTCTGTCAAATAAATAAAATCTTTAAAAAAAACAAAACAAAACAACTCTTCATTTATTACTTCAATAAATAAAAGAATACTAAAAGGGTAAGAGGCCTAGAAATAAAAGTACAGGGTAGGTGTGGCCGTCATATCCAGGAAAGCTAGACCCCTGGAAAACTGGAGTTCCTGGGGTGAATTTAGAAGGGACCTTACCAGAGGACCAATTTAGGGAGAAATGTAACTGTGAAGGCTGACTGGAAATTTCTGTTACCAAGTCTGCACGTTCTCTCAATAGAGAAACAGATTCAAGAAGTCTAGTTACATTCAGAAGGTTGCTTGATAAAGAGGAAATCAAAGTGAAGGGAGTTATATAGTCCCCAGAAATATTTCTTTTCTTTTTTAAGATTTTACTTATTTATTTGTCAGAGAGGGAGAGAGAGAGCACAAGCAGGGGGAGCGGCAGAAGGAGAGAGAGAAGCAGACTCCCCACTGAGCAGGGAGCCCGATGTGGGGCTCGATCCCAGGACCCTGGGATCGTGACCTGAGCTGAAGGCAGATGCTTAACTGACTGAGCCCCTAGTCTTTAGAAATATTTCATTCAAAAAAAAAAATTTCATTCAGACCACGATCAAAATCGCCTGGTGAGTCACCTGCTCCTTTAAGAGCTATCAGAGATCAGCAAACTTTCTCTGTCAAGGTCTAGATATTCAACGTTTCCACTGTGCAAGGCTGTCTCTGTCCCAGCTGGTCAACTCAGCTGTTACAGCTGGTTATCCCCGTTTTATCTGACCTGGTGTTAGCATGTTTTGCTTTTTCATCCAGTTTCTGTTTTTATTTCTGTTCCAAGAGAAATAACAGGATTTGCACCAGTGGACTTTCTAGAACAAGTTGGATCATGGCTAAGATGTCAAGAAGAGTCTATTCATTTTGGTTTGTCATTAGGATTTCATTTCATGAAAGGAGGTTTCGTGAGATTCTCACTAACATGCAAGGACAATTTCAGGTTCATTCTGTGAACTTACAGATGTTCTTTAAAGAACCGCAGACATTTTCTTACCGCGTGGCTATTGGACCAGCTCTGCCTTTTGTGTTTGTTTTCACCGCGGTTAAAAACCACAGCAATTACTCAAATGCAAAGAACTGAAACAGCAAGAATTAATGTTTGGCTCTTGGAAATTGAACATTTTGCTTTTCCACTTGCTTGCAATCTATCTTATTTAGTCTGCTGAGAGCAAAAAGGCAAAATAAAGAATGTTTTCCAAGATCTGTTCAGAGGACAAGCAGCAATTGTAGATTCAGTCACAAAGCTCAGAATTTCAGTCATTCAGCACCTGCTTACTGGGTGTTTACGGGGGGCTTGGTGCATACAGAACAGAGCACCGAACAACACACCAAATTTGTGGTCGTGTATTATGTAGCCACAGGTGCCGATATTGGGATGCCTCAAGGACCCAGGCACTACACATGGCCTCGGCTTCTCATAGTGTGGTAGTGAGGTTCGGAGACAGAGCTTCCCCAGAGCAAGGGTCCCAAGAGCATAACCTTCCAGAGATCAGGGCAGAGGCTCTTCTTGCCTGGCCTAGGAAGTCACACTAACATCACTTCCATCATACGTCACAAGCTCACTCAGATTCTAGGAGAGGGGATATAGGCTCCATCTCTCAATTGTTGAATTTGTGACCATCTTCTAAAACTGCCTCAAGGAGTTGGCCATTTGGAGCAGGGAGTAGAATGGTCAAGATCTGTACTGTCCATTCTGGAAGCAGCTGGTCACATGGGGCTATTTAAATGGGAATTAGGGACACTTGGGTGGCTCAGTCAGTTAAGCGTCTGCCTTCGGCTCAGGTCATGATCCCAGGGTCCTGGGATCGAGCCCCAGGTTGAGCCCCGAGTCAGGGTCCCTGCTCAGCGGGAAGCCTGCTTCTCCGTCTCCCACTCCCCCTGCTTGTGTTCCCTCTCTCGCTGTGTCTCTCTCTGTCAAATAAATAAATAAAATCTTTAAAAATAGATAAATAAGTGGAAACTAATCATGTTGCAAGCACTCCAGAGCTGCACGTGGCTAGGGGCTACCAAGCTGGAGAACACAGCCAGCACTGTGGGAGGTTCTGCTGGACGTGCTGCCCTGGGTGGATGTAACTGGGCCAGTTCTCTGAGTTAGAACATACATGGACTTGGAAGTGGAATAGAAAAAAGCCCTGGCTTTACATACACTATATGCCACTTAACTGAATTTAAATAAAATTAAATTAAAAAAATAAAGTACACAATGAATATACTTTCCCCAATATTTGTCCTTCCTGAAAAGAAGGAAAGAGAGAAAGAAAGGGAGAAAGAAAGAGAAAGAAAGAGAGAAAGAAAGGGAAAGAAAGAAAACGTGGCTTTAAGGACAGGTTCTTTGGCTGCTTTTTGCTGTTGTGTGCCTAGTGTCTAGTGCATAATAGGCCTTCACAATTTTTTTATGGAACGAAAGGATGTATACATAGGGAAGGCTTAAGTATACCACGTGCCAAGGTAGAGAAAAAGGGCCTCAGATGAGAGTGGAGTAGACCAGGGTCAGATCACACAGGGCCTTTCTTTCTTAAGGAGTTTATATTTTATTTTAAGTAAAATAGAACTCGCATAATATGTTGTTTCATATTTTGCTTATTTATGAGAGGCCTAAAAAGAAATAAATTTATTGCGGCTAGTGGGCTTATTTGTTAGTAAAAAAGGCAGTAGACAGAAATCTAGAAATAACAAAGGCCTAACCAAATTAGAAATCTATTTATCTCTGCTTATATAAGTGTAGGCTCCTATGGCAACTCCAGAATAATCAGGAACCCAGGCTCTTGATTGGGCCTTCTACTTTATTATCCAAGATGTCTACTTTGGTCCAGTTTTTTTTAATCTGCTTTCTAGACAGGAGAAAGAGAGAGAGGGTGAGCTGCTGGCCCTCATATCCAGGATGATGATCTCACTTCCTCTAGGTCTTTTTTTTTTTTTTTTAAAGATTTGATTCTTTTATTTGAGAGAATGGGAGAGATAGAGAGAGCGTATGAGTGAAGGGAGGGGCAGAGGGAGAGGAAGCAGATTCCCTGCTGAGCCCAACACTGGGTTTGATCCCAGGACCCTGAAATCATGACCTGAGCCGAAGGGAGATGCTTAACCGACTGAGCCACCCAGGCACCACTTACCTCTAGCTTCTTAACTTAATTATATCTGCAAAAACTCTTCCTCCAAATAAGGTCATATTCACAGTTATGGGTGGAGGTC